AAAGGTCCCGATCTCCTCTTTTGATCGGGGACCTTTCCCGATCATGTGACCACCGTGACAGCGAATCATGGCGGTCACGTGACCCTAAAACCCTGCCCGCCTCCTGGCTTCTGGAACCCTTAAATGGTCAGGAGGAACCGGTGCCAAGGGGTTAATATCCATCCAGTAAGTGGAACAATGCCCAACAGTTGACACGTTTCAGCCTGGGTGGGCTTTAGTCATTGGACTAAAGCCCATCTGGGCTGAAACATGTCAACATTTGTGGATTGTTCCCCTTACCTTGATGGATCTGAAATAAATGAAGAAGATTTTATAAAGATGACTTGCCTTTTTGCTGACCTTTTTCTGGAAGGGTGTCGGGCAGGAGCCCTTTCTCATACCTTCCAGCCACCTCCTCTGTCAGATACTGTTGTGTATTTAGCTGTTGTGTAGTGTCGCCAGGCCGGTGTGGTTGTGTATACAGACTTTGTACTACCTTCTTGGAACTCTCGCATCAATATACTTTTCTGCACTACTTGTGTTTTCTTCTATCCTCTCCAGATACCCAGCTCTGGATACCCCCCCCCCCTCTTACATGCAGCTTTCATTAATATAATACCTTGTAATCCTCCCTTGAAGGTCCTTGTTCAGGTACTTTAAGTTATAGGGCGACAACACTCTGTTCCTATCTCACAATTGTTCTCTTGCATTGTTACAGTCACGCAGAAGATACAGCGGGCAAAATAAGTATTAAACACGTCACCAATTTTCTTAGTAAATATATTTCTAAAGGTGCCATTGACATGAAATTTTCATCACACGTCGGTAACAACCCATGCAATCCATACATACAAAGAAACCAAAACAAATACGTTCAGAAATTAAGTTAGGTGTAATAAAAGGGAATAACACAGGGAAAAAGTATTGAACACATAAAGAAAGGGAGGTGCAAAAAGACATGGAAAGCCAGGACAGCAGCTGAAATCTATCAGTAATTAGAAAGCAATTCTGCCCCTTGTCAGTGCAAATTAATATCAGCTGGGTCAGTCTCAACTAATGGCTTATTAGAAGGTGTCTCATTGCCAAGGTATTAACACAAGAAATATCTCATGATGGGTAAAAGCAGAGAGCTCTCTTAAGACCTTTATAACCTTATTGTTGCAAAACATACTGATGGCATTGGTCACAGAAGGATTTCTAAACTTCTGAATGTTCCATTGAGCACTGGTGGGGCCATAATTTGGAAGTGGAAAGAAACATCATTTCACCATAAACTGGCCACGATCAGGTGCTCTTTGCAAGATTTCTGACAGAGGAATGACAAGATTTAATAGAAAAGTTGTCCAAGAGCCAAAGACCACTTGTGAAGAGCTTCAGAAAGACTTGGAATTAGCAGGTACAATTGTTTCAAAGACAACAATAAGTAATGCACTCAACTGCCATGACCTGTATGCACGCTCACTACGCACGACTCTATTGCTGAAGAAAAATCATGTTGAAGCTCATTTATAGTTTGCTGCACAACATTTAGGCAAGCCTGTGAAATACTGGGAGAATATAGTCTGGCCAGATGAGACCAAAATTTAACTCTTTGGATGCCACAATATACACCATGTTTGGATGCCAAATGGCACTGCACATCAACCCAAAAACACCATACCAACCGTGAAGTTTGGAGGTGGGAACATCATGATGTGGGGCTGTTTTTCAGCATACGGTACTGGCAAACATCATTTCATGAAGGAAGGATGAATGGAAAAATGTACCAAGACATTCTTGATAATATTCTGCTTCCATCTACCAGTATGATGAAGATTAAACGAGGGTGGACATTTCAGCAAGACAATGATCCCCAACACAAAGCCAAGAAAACTCTCAATTAGTTTTAAAGAAAGAAAATAAAGCTGCTAGTATGGCCCAGCCAATCACCTGACTTGAATCCAATAGAAAATCTATGGAAAGAACTAAAGATCAGAGTTCATAGAAGAGGTCCTCAGAACCTCCAAGATTTGAAGACTGTTTGAAGAATGGGCAAAAATCACACCTGAACAATGCATGCGACCTCCATACAGGAGGTGTCTTGAAGCTGTCATTACCAACAAAGGATTTTGTACAAAGTATTAAATACATTTCAGTTAGCGTGTTCAATACTTTTTCCCTGTGTCGTTCCACTTTATTACACATAACGTAATTTCTGAACTTATTTGTTTTGGTTTCTTTGTATGTATGGAACGCATGGCTTGTTACTGACATGTGGTGAAAATTTCACGTCGATAGCACCTTCAGGAATATATTTACTGAGAAAAATGGTGACAGTTTCAATACTTATTTTACAGGTGTATCTGATGGAGAATATAAGTGGTAGTTTCAATACATAATATGCATGTCTGAGAAATGCCATGCAGTCATTGCTGTAAAGCATGCATTTTGACAGGAAATGGCTAAAAAAAGATTCAACAAATTATTAAAGAAACAAATATTTTGCTTAGAAAAGGGCAATTATTTAGGATGCCCAGTACTTTAGCAAAAGAAATATCACTTGGTTGGGGTCTACATCTATTTGAAGTGACTAAAGAGGTACTCCATTCCCCCCCTCACTACTGGATCCCATACGCCATCTTGGTCCCCTTCAGCTGGCTGCCTCTGCCAAATATAGGCAGCCAGCTCTGATGATGCACTGGACCCCCTTCCCCAGACTGCCCTCCGGCTGCTCTGTGTGCCAATCCTGCAGCTTTCTGTGAGATGGGATATAAGTATCCCAGGAGGCTGCTGGATCAGGTACACGACAGTCTGGCCTAGGTCAAAATCAGGGCAGGGCTGAAAATAAAAAAAAAATAGAAATTCTGCTTGCTGGGGATGGGGGGGGGGAGTTTTGGGAGTTTAGTTCCACTTTAATGTAAATATGAAGCCAAAGTGTTTTATTTTATTTTAGAAAGAGAAGAAATGTTTAAATCCCCTGGCAAGTTTTTTTTCCACCCTTGTCCCATTATCCCATTCAAGAGAATTCCCTTCTTCACTTTCTATCATGATGATACAACATAAAGTGTGAGTAGATTTCTTCAGGATAAGGGAAAACTCCTCTCACGTGCCCAGCGTCCCCAATGGAAGATTTCTCCTTCAAACACATTTTTTGGGGGGCCAGTCAAATATTAGGATTTTCCCAAAATTTGACTAGTCTAATATTTAACTAGCTTATGTAGAAATGACCACCAGAAAAAAAATAGAGTGAATTTCCCTAGCAGCAATATTATTTTGTCTGAAGAAAAAAAGCTAGAGAGTTTATACAAAAGGCCAAAAATCTTTGATTTAACCCCTTCCCGTCTAAGGGTAAAACAAATGTTTATGCCTAAGCACAATTTTGCAACTTTGACATGAGTCAGTAAAACCATACATATCATCACAACTACTTTGTGCATCCAGGTAGATTATACCTTGTTTTTTGTTATGACAAATTGGGCTTTTTATTTGATGGTAAATGGTAATGAATGTATTGTTTTTTATTATCTAAGCAAAAACTGGCCCAAAATAGTAAAAAAAAAATATATTTTTTTAGCTGTATATTTCTTGCTACTGTAATAACCTATCACCAAAGAACAACTCAAAATAAATTCTCCTGCTCCTGTTGATTGCAGTGACACCACATATGTGTATGTTAGTTGTTGTATGTACCCACAGTACATGGCAGAAACAATAATGTGCATTTTCCTTTTTTATCTCACCAAAAAAACACACAACACTGACTGACATTGATACCAATTGAGCTTGACCCTTGACCCTTACTTGACCCAACACTAACCATGGCACTGACCCAGATTTTTTTTTAATTATTATTTATTTATTTATTTTTAAACACATCATTTTTTTTTTCTCTGCAAGGAGAGAGAGAGATACAATGTATACAATGCCCGTGTATCCTCCATTCAGAAAGAGAGAAAACACGGGCACAGGCTTCTCTCCTCCATTCAGAAAGAGAGAAAACATGGGCACAGGCTTCCAGTCAGAGGCTATCACAGCTATCAGGTGACTCGGAACCAGGAGTTCTGGGTCCCAAGTGTTAGTACAGGACCCGTGGCTCCTGGTGAGACCCTGGTGTCTGTGCTGGGAGCACAAAGACAGATACACATATATGCGGCCCCACGGAAAAAAAGCCCAGTCCAGTGGGGCCACATATATGCGTAAGCTCAGCGGGAAGGGGTTAATCAATTTAGAACAAAAAACATAGATAGACCTCCTTATACTGGTGTGAACTAGGGCCATTGGAATACATGGAAAACACTGTACATGCAGTTTTGATGTAGAAAAAAAGCACTGGACTGCATCTAGTGTAAACCAAAGCATATCTAAAAAAAAATTATGTATTGCAACATACCAGTCCTTGGATGTTGTGGTTGCATTAGATTTTTTTTCCATCTTTTTTTACTTTATTTGTACTTGGTAATCCTGCAAATTATACTCCTCCATACCTTCGTGGCTACCCTAATATCTCCACTTTATCTACAGAGGAAGCCATGGTTGTCACACAGACATGTCTGCCTTTATTTATATTCATAACATAGTGGATTGAGTGGATTTGGTAATTTACACAAAAAAAGCTAAGAAAGTTTGTGCTACCCTTTCATCTTGGAGGATGTGACAAGGACACAAAAGTATTTCTGACAAGATCAACAAGCATTTTCTGTACCTGCTGAAAATGTTCTTAGCCTGGAAAATGAAAACTAATGCAGCCATTACATCTAAGGGCTGGTATGCTAATATATACAGTATTTTAGTTTTTTTTTTTTTGGTTTGGATCAGGGGCGGACTGACCATTTGGAAACTGCCCGAGGGCCAGGGGTCAGTAGGGGGCCCCATGAGATGCCCCTGGTACCTTTTTCATAGGCTTTTTTGAGTTTGGGCAAGGACACAGGGGCCCCATGATCCCCTATTGCCCGGGGGCCCCATGAGTTGTCAGTCCGCCCCTGGTTTGGATACACTTTAGGTATTGCCCATATTTTTCTGAAAATCTGCCCTTGTTTGTACAGACCTCACCTATATTTCTAGGCTTCATCCTTCCAGGACAGAGGCAGTGCCTCTAAAAGTGAAGATTGTTGGAAGTAATGCATAAAGCCCCATTCTCCTTGGCACAGTGGTCAGTACACCGCGTGCAGAGGGTTGTGCTTACCCATCTGGGCGGCACAGCCACTTGCAGCCAGCCTGCTCACTTTAATGACAGGCGGAGGTTTGCATGGATGTACATGGAAATTCACTTGTGTTCCTAAGTATACCTCCGTGTGGGACCGATGAATGACTCTGATCACAGTCTTCCTGCATTCTGAGCCATGCATTGGTCCCCCATGGATGTACAGTTAGGGATGCACTCCAAACCTGTAAAGAACTATCACATGATGGCAGGCCACTGGCCCAATCAGCTGCAGCAGGAGAAACCAACCGTCCTGCTGCTCCACATAACATTGAGGCACAGATGCTGGTGACATCCTTGACCGAATATGTCCACATGACCATACTTGGTCAATTACATTATCTATATCTGGCCATGTGGCCATATTAGAAGAATAATGCCCTCAGAAAACCTGTCCCTTGTTATATGTGGGTGGATTTCCCTGAACATAGGCGATTGTGTTGGTGGCCAGCCATCATGTTTGCTACAGGTTGTCCTGATACTTAGGTCATTACTAGTGAAGATCCCCGCCTGTCATTGATTTGAACCATCTGACTGAATGGACAACCTGTGCCTCCTGGGAGGGTAACATAGCCCTCTGCCCTGGTGTACTGATCAGTACACTACTAAGAGGCCTAAAGATTAATTAGCTCCTGCCTCTTTTATATTTGTGTCACCTTCTGACGTGCACACTGCATTAAATCGCACTTCAGAGGGCATTTGATAGGTGATGAGGAGGTGTTATAAAAACCTCCTCACCACCTGTTTAAACCCCTTAATCCTGTACCAGTGCTGTGTGGGGCAAGGCAGTAGCCAGGTGACCCTGTTCAGTTGAATGGGTTGTGTTAGGCAGTTAGTAATGCCTGCTGAATGTGCTAGCCGGGATAATTTTTGCCATTAGCACTCCTTACTGACTTTGAAGCTTAAAGGGGGAATGGTTGGTATAAATACGTCAGAACCAGGGGCGGACTGATCATTTGGAAACTCGGGCACTGCCCAAGGGCCCGGGGTCAGTAGGACACCCCCCATGAGATGCCCCTGGTACCTTTTTCATAGGCTTTTTTGAGTTTGGGCAAGGACACAGGGGCCCCATGATCCCCTATTGCCCGGGGGCCCCATGAGTTGTCAGTCCGCCCCTCGTCAGAACTGTGCATTTTTACAGCCCCCTGGACTGCAAATGGGGACCTAAAATAGTTCAGAATGTTCACACAATAAATAGTGTTGAGATTCACTTCAATTATCCAATCATGAGAAAAGGAAGTGTCAGCTTACTTATTTCATCTGCACATGATTGGGTAATTGAAGTGAATCTTCACACAATGCATTGTGTGAAGATTCTCGGCTCTTCAATCAGTCTCAGTGTTCACCTTTTAAGGAGATTTCTAAAACTCAGACATGGGTGTCTTCATAGGCAGGAAAAAATTTGTTTGCCTGAAGCATGAAAAGGAAAAAATATACCTTTACTGTATGCATTATACACAAGCTGATTATAATGCTGAAGGGCATGTGGGAGTTTTACACAATTCTCCTTCAGTAGGAAGCATTTTTTTGTGTTAACAATGGGACATTTCCTGTCAGCCAATGAATGCAGCAGGCTTTAACATCAAACTTCACTTCGTTGTGTTTCCTGGTTTCAAATTGTACCTTGAGGTACAAAAAAAACTGGATGTAATTAGTACACGTAACATTAGTTCAGAGAAATCAATGCAGATTTTTTTTTTTTTGTGGACATTTGCCCTCCAGAGGATTTACCCCCTTCATGACCAGGCCATTTTTTGTGATATTTAACTGACAATTGTGCGGTCATGCAACACTGTACATAAATAAAATTGATGTCCTTTCTTTCCCACAAATAGAGCTTTCCTTAGGTGGTATTTGATCACCTGTGCGTTTTTTCTTTTTTGCACTATAAACAAAAAAAGACCTACAATTTTGAAAAAAAAACCCCAATATTTTCGACATTTTGCTATAAAACATATCCAGTAAAAAAATTTAAAAAATCTAATTTCACAAATGACACATCTGGAAATATTGACTGTAGATGTAGAACATATTCCAGCAGGATTATATCTTCAGTGCAGATGAGCTATTGATGCAGGCCATGTGACAGGAGAGTATTAAGTGCTTGCTTTGCAGTACATACCACTGTTCACCTTTTAAAAATATCAACACTGCAACTTTAGGCCAAAAACCAAACTAAACTGATACCGCTCTAATAACCCAACCTGTTATCCCAGCTGACTGGCCACAATGTTTGCAGGTGCAGGTTGAGTAGAATACTGGCTTGTTAGACACATCAAAAACTACAACAAAATGCCACCTATCTGCACACTATAGTGAACTCCTCTTAGTAAAAAAATGGCTCCAACTTGGTATCCTACCCATGGGAGAACCCCCTCTAACATGTTTCACCCTGTAGAGGACTTTACGATTAAGCCCCTACAGTGCAAAACATATTAGAGGAGATTATCCCATGGGTAGGAAACCAAGCTGAAGCCATTTTTGTACTAAGAGGAGTTCACTAAATGCAAAGAAAGTGTGCGGATTGCTGCTTTAGGGTTTGAGGTCTACTGGTTAGGTTTAAGAGTTAAGCACGAGGTGACTTTGAGGTTATGGGTTAGTTCGTAGCTTTTATGGAGTGCTGGGGTCTCCAAACTTTTCAGTATTAGGGCCACAGTGTAAATTTTAGAAGTATTGGGGGCCAAAAATAATCAGCTTTAAAAATGTATGGAATGAATAAACACATTTCAAGAAATAACTTCATACCAGATACCCCCTTCACATCAGAGCCCCCCCAAATTCACATCAGAATCCCCTTTCACATCCGAAACCCCCATCACTTCAGCGCACCCTTACATATCCAAGTCTCCCTGTTAAATCAAGGTCCCTCTCAGAGTTCCCCCGTACATTGGGGACCCCTTCAGTGTCTCCCCTTACATTAGGGTCCACATCAAAAGCAGATATCAAAGGATCTGAACCAGCAGTCTGAGGATTCACCACTGACCCTAGCTGCGGGCCGGATACAACCTTGTAGTGGGCCGCAGTTTGGAGACCCCTGATCCAGTTAGATTATTTTTTTAGGGGGTCATAACTGTATGACCTGTAATAAAACCTATTTGTTCAGAAAATTTGTGTACCAAAAACTACAACGCCTTAAAGAACGCTTCTAGTCTTCAAGTAGAGCTAAACTGACAACTAACATACCATAGTCTGCATAATATAATTTTTCCCCTGACATCTCCTTGCAAAATTTTACAATAAATATTCTCATATTTGTTAAGCGCCTGGAGGAAACATAAAAATGAGATCCCGTACATACATATATCTGAATAAAAAAGTAGTGTATTAAAAAGCTGACCCTGCAGGAATGTTTAATAAACATGAGGGAAATGGATATGTAGAAGTGTAGCCATCATAGCCAATCAGATTTCATCTGTGTAGAAAATTCATTTGAAGTAATGGATCACAAAATAAAAGAGATTGCACTTTTAATAAAGAGTCAAGTCCCACTGGTACCCATGTATTTACATTTGCTTGTGCCTGATAGCAAAATTCTCATGTTATGACCTTCCTGATGATTTACCATGGTTTGATGGTTTAACAGAAGTATTTGTGTCCTGTCTTGGCTTTTCTCTGAATTTTTAGTTAAATCGACTATACTGTCACTATATTATATATGTGCCTCACATGTAAAAGAACCATGTCATGTTAAGGGACAAGGGTCTTTCCCCACATCTAGTCCCTAAAAGTGATGTGGGTGTTTGGGGGGGGGGGACTTATAGGAATCTGAAATAATATTTATAAGGAGGGCCTCAGATATCCCCCACCCCTCAGGGGAATGAGTACAAAATATATTTGACTCTTATTATTCATTCCCCATAAAAGTCAAAAAGTAAAAAAAAACACACCAACAGTGACAAAGTCTTTTAATAAAAAAAAAAATAAAACAAATTACAAAAATAAATAATGTCCTCTGATGTAAATCCAACTGCAGTCAGGTCTTCCCGACAGACATGAGCACGCTGGAAATTTTCGTTTCATTTAGGATGCATTTGTTTATTGAAGAATTTAATTTTGTCATATTTGTTATGTTAAACTGATTAATTTTTGGAATTAGTTTTGTATCTTCAACATTCTTATATTTGTTGGTCCGGGTAGATTCAAAACATTTTGCCTTTTTTTTTTTTTCAAAAGATTGCTATACATTAGTTTTGTATTTTGATATTTCAGGTGGATTCTTTATTCTTATATCAAAACTATTCAATATTTTCAGATGCAACAGAATAAGTCATGCAAAATTCGTCAGCCCCGAATTTTTAAAACCTAACAACTGCATTAGACTGTGAAAATGAACTGACTGACTGTGAAAATTACAAATTCAATTTAAATCAAATTAAATAATTTACTTGAACCCAAATTTATCGAATGAAACAAACAAATGCATACCTTAATTTGTTCTAACTTTTTCTTGATTAGTTGACATTCGTCACTATGTTTATTCAGAGATTTGTATACGTCCGAATCTCCAAAAATCAAATTTTTTGTCCAAAAATTGATTTGTGACGAAACATAACGCACATATCTACTTCCCTCTTTATTGCCTTTTGATGTTTCTCTATCACCCAGTGATGTTGACCTACTACACTACCACCTCCAAATGATCACAAACAGGCTGGACTTGAGTAAACCTGAAGCTCATCCCATGTCAGGACTGTTAAAACTTTGAATAATATTTTACATCATTTAAATATTATTTAATTATTCTTTAAATAATATTTAACAATTGTTTTTGTTGTCTCCTAGGATAAGACAGATCCTTATATGAAAATCAGCTGATCTCCTAAACCACATAACTTATATGCTGGCTCTGTGCAC